TAAACGTGTCTTTACCTTACATATAAGGCGTGTTCTTTGTACCAACAGATCTTTCATAAAGGGGAGTGAAATATGTAAAGGAAATGGTAATACATGTTCACAATGACAAAGGAAAAGTTTATCGACTCTGTAACCAACTTTAGCCCACTACTTGCATGCGGAAGTAAGACAGATTACTTTGCACTCAAAAGAAAATGAGATACCAAGTGGCAAAAGGCAACTTCAGGTGATTCTGAAGTGATAATATATGGCATTTCGCTTATAGAAATTTCCTATATTGTTTTCACATTTACGTCCTTTAAAGTCACTCTCCATGAGCCAGAATCCCTAGGACACTAGCATAGCTTCCAAAGATTTAATTGTGCACTAGTAGCTAATATCCACATGGTGAATCGAAACTGCTGTCTTAACTTCTGCGTGTGAATGATCACGTGCTAATCCCAAATGCAAAACCAATCTAGAGAAGGGCTCTAAATATGGGATTTCTAGTTTCATTTTCCAGTTATGTTCTTCTTTAAATCCCATTTGATACCAGGTAAATGGGAAGTTGAAGAACAAGCTAGGAAGAATAATAGCTCAATGTCTTTAATCTTAATTCCACATTGCTTTTAAATTGAATCTCCATTCATGTCTCCCACTAGAAAATATCAGGTAGAATACACATTATTAGTGGTTTATACAACCAAAAAAATCACCAATACTACATCCCTGTGTGCAGAATACTCCCATAGAATACGAAATCTACCAAATTCAAGACATGGTCATACTCAAGGACAGATACATCATCCATTCAGCTGTATGCACACATTATATACATACTCGTACACATTCACCTAATTACATACGCAAAAACACACTACAAGAAGACCGAGTTCCAGTGAAATTGCAGTGTCGAAGTGAAGCATTTGAGAAATGCATTCTAATCAACAACATAATACTAAGTAAACTACAGCTAAAACATAAGGAAAATAGCTTGAACTTTCAAATTGTTGAATTAGTATATGGACAATCGTCCTGGCATAATTGAAGGAAATTTAGATAAACAACACGGAATGATCCCACTCACAGTAGCAGCCAGTGTTTAAGAGTGACTAAAATTTTGATTCTCGGCCACTTCTTCGGAACCTGCGTCCTGTTTAAGGTCTCCGAACTTCTTCTTGAAGGAATCTTGCCTCTGTAGCCACATCATATGGCCCTGAATTTTCACCGGAATCCAAAAAATCACTACAAAATACAAATAATTCATTTTCTATATATGTATGTCGTACGAGTACCTGGAGAGCAGCGGCCCAAGCTATGAGGAAAGAGGCAAGCCAGAATTTTTTGCTCTTAAGAATCTGCCGGGCTTCGAATTTCTTGGTTTCCATTGTCAGCGAATTACGGAAAACCCTAAAACCCTATCCCGAAAAGTTGCATCGAAGTTCTGAAAATTCAAGAAATAAATTGAAAACTTCAGGGGACATTATGCACCTCACAGAATATTCAGGGGTAGAATCCCAATAATCTGAAGTTTAGAGGCTGATTTGAACATTTCAGAACCTTTAGGGATCAATTGGCGCCGAACATAAAGTCCAGGGACTAATTTGTACGAACAAGAAAGTTAAAAGGACCGATATGAAATAAACAGAAAGGCTAGGGACAAATTCGTAGAATTTTGAACATAGGGGGAAATTTGAATATTACAAGAGCCAGGGGCATACTTTGAAAGTCCAGAAATTAGAGGGACTGGAATGCAGATATCATAGAACACGGGGGCTGGTTCATAAAATATGGATAATGTGTTTTTTGACTGGTTTAAGTTTCTATTAAGCTGGGTATTATTCACAATTTCAAGAGCCAGGTAAAAGAGGGACCCCAAGTTTTGGTTACATAGTTTGTAACCCCTACAAGTTCATATTTTTGGTTACAAAATTTACAATTAATAAATGCATCATTCGTTCTCATATGTGAAACTCGTATACATTTGTTGGTCGTGCTTGTCGAATATAGTTTATCATAGTACAAGTTAAGTTTGTACAATTGTTAGGTCGTAAGAAAAGAAATGAGTAAAAAATTTAAAACCAATGATAATTGCAATTCATATTATTATCTCGACTTATAATTTGTTGCAGTAACAAATAGATTGAAAGTTCTTTAAGATAGACTACGTCGTTCTTATGATATGATAATATCCTTTTTCGTGCCATATTTATCTTACAATCATCTTGTGATGTAGATTGACACGGGCAGTTGTAATTAATTTTAATAGCATTGATTTATTTTATTTTAAGCACTTAAATTATCAATCTAATTAGGAGCAATTAGGGGCAAAATGGTCTTTCTATGTCTGCCTAAGAGAAATTTTGGAGGAAATTATTATCATGATTCATGAACAAGATGTTCTAATTAATATATGTTCAAGATAAATATACGCTTAAAAAAGACAGAACATAAGTATGATAATATGTAATTTAATGCAAATAAAAACGTCGTGAATCTACAAGAAAAATGTAATGCCAATGTAGTCACCATTATTAGGGATAGCAATTTGCCCCGTCCAATTTGAGTCTTGTGGCGCCCTGCTTAGTCGGGGTGGCCGGATTTTTCAAGGAAAAAATTGTTGCCCATGGCGGCATGGGCTCGCCCCGCATCAGTTGTCAAATTATTTTTAAAAAAATCAAAATTTGTTTGAAATCGCCCTAACCCCAACATTTTTATGCCCGAATCTATTAGTAAAATTCCTAAATTACTCACGTGCTCCTAGAATTTACAAGGAAACAATTTATAAGCAGGAAACTATGAACGACCCAATTTATAAGGAAACAATGTCCCATCTTGTCTTAAGTGGGGATTGAGACGATAAAATTCTCGACGTGACGACGGACGGGTCACCCTACTCCAACTTGTCCTGCCCCTATGGGCAATCCAATCCTTTATAGTTTTATTCCTAGAGTTTTACCGTTTAAAATATTTCTGTAACTTTGTCGATTCTGGATTGTTTTCTATTAATTTTAATGTTTTCTCGATATTTTGTTAAATCAATAAGAAAAGAATGAAATAATTTATTCTTGATGCTTGCTCTGCATCATCTTGTTCGTTAATAACTTAAAACTCGATAATGTCTGGTTTAAATTTAACAGCTATTTTATAAAACCTTGCAATAAAATATTTTCTTCTACTACTACGAGTCTACGATTGCTCTGTTTATACACTCGTGAAAGATTCTTCTCGGATGTACAAACTACAGTGTACAATGTACAAGCAAAATAACTAAAGAAAGAGAGAAATTTTTTCCCTTGAATTACGTTGAGCCAAAAAGCTTATTCAATTGGGGCACTTTCGGTTTATACGCACGAGACAGGATCACGGTTTGTCATTTGTGTCCGTTCTTTACGAAAAAGGCCAAAATGTCACCATACCGCTTTGGGGACATGATTATGAACCTGTTTGAACTTCATTATTTTGAAATAGTGATTGATGGATAATGTGTGTTTAAAAAATAAAAAAAAAAAATTGGATTTACATTTAATATTATTTTATTAAATAATGTGTGGTTAAAAATGAGAAAGAAAAAAATAATTTAGAAAATAACGAGGACCAAACAACGACTATATTAAGTAAATAAACTGGGGAGACAAAAAAATGTTTGAAAAAGAATTGTCGCGGTTAATGTTACTTTCATTTTTTTTTATCAAAGACAATAAATAATTCATATACTTCTATTTTCTTAATATATACCATATTATAATCATTTACCTGAATAAGACAGGAACATTGAACAACTAGAAGACATGAAGATTTATTTAAAAAAAAAAATCAATCCACTTGTCCTCACCTCTGTACACAATCTATCCACATCAATCTTTAGACTCTCAGTTGTATAATAAACTTTTCCGTTCAAGTTTTGTTCACTGCACGGTTACATTTGTCAAAATATATTAATCCGACTCTGTTATCGGGCATGTCAGAGCATTCTTCAAAGCTGATAAAATAGGAATTGTGTTAAAAAAAAAAAAAATCATGCTACACACGTACATTAATGTATACATTTTTGTCGATATTCATCCACGTGACACCATCATATCCTTCGATTTTTTCAACACCCTTTCACGTCACTGTCCAGATTGTGCCATATAGAGCGAAAGTCATCTTTAATATAAGTTAGAATGTACTTCTAACTTAATTCTTAAAATTCTTAAAAAAATGAAGAAATATGCAAGGAAAATTGCAAGGCCTTACGGCCTAATGCATGTTGTGTTCACCAATTGTGTTTGATGCAGGGGTGACTGGACACAAACTACCTCAAAATTAGATCATGGTAGCTTGTGCTTGACTCTAGGATTGGGCACGAGTTGAATTCGGACCCAACCCGACAATCGAACCAATAGTTCGATTGGGCAAAATTCCAACTCGAAATCAAACCGAAATATGAATAAATCGACTCAAATTAACCCAAACCTGCTTAGGTCGGTTTAAAAAGACTTTTTCCCTTAAAAGATATTTTTTTAACCTGACTTCTCTAATCGAGGTTTTCGAGTTGGTTCAAGCCACTCGAAAACTAAACCAGCATTCCTTCAGGTCGACCCGATTTGATTTGATTTGATTATTTGAATCGATTATGCGAATAATTTGTCCAATCCTACTTGACTCTATCAAAAAAATGTCTACTCCAACTAATTAGTTTCAAGTCTAATCCCTACCAAATTCTTGATAAACATCCCAAGTGGGAATGAATTAAATGACACTGAAAAACGAAATTAATATAGCTCATTGTTTGACATAGATTAAAATCTAAATTTAATAATCAAAATTGACAATTAATTTTAATCACATGTTTTACGGATTCACAATTTTTTTACCGTATATTTCATCAACTTTTATCAAAATATACCAAAATTTTGATTTTAATCTCCAAGACATAATGCAGAAAAAAGAAAAGAAAAGAAAAGAAGTAATAACGCTACATTAGTAAAGAAACATTCAAACCAACATCAAGTCATCATTATGATTAGATTAGAGTTCTAACTATTGGGCTTGCTGTTGCAGTTTGGAGGAGAAGAATCCATAGGAAGTATCTGTGAAGAAGAGCTTGAAGGACGATACTGTTCTTCAAAACTATAATTTTGACCAAGTCCCTCTTCTTCCATGATTTTTCTGATATAAAGTTTATCTTCTGCATCCCTCAAGAACTTCAATTTTGGAGGTGGAGAAGACCTTAATTTATTAAATACTGCATCACTTTCCGATTCAAGAAATGGATTAAAACCACCCTTTTGATTATGGTTATCTGATGGTGATGATGATGATGGGGTTAAAGGAGGAGTAAAATATGGCGGAGAAGTAACGGGAGTCAAGAAGGGAGTTTCAGCAACGTCGTGAAGTAAATCGCTCAAACTTTTACTTCTTGATTGCTTTCTACTGATGTCAAAACTGGATCTTCCATTTTCAGATTCCAAATCTGACCTTGTTTCTTCTTCTATAGAGAAGAGATATCTTGGAATGCTATCTTCTGATCCAAATGCATGAATTTCTTGAGCCTGAGGTATGTGAGAAATTGTCTCTGATAAACTTATTTCTCGAGCACCGGTTGTACTTGAAGAAGATGGTTTTTTGCAACAAAATTTGTAGAAAAATCCTGTTGCTCGTCTATTGTGATAGCCATCTTCATTACTTCTCTTGATAATCCTATTTTTCCACCATAGCAAGTAGTAAATCTCAAAAAGCAGAGCCAGCAAAAGACATCCAAAAACAAGACTCAGACCCAGCCCCACACCGCTCAAATATTTCATCCTTTTTATCTGTATATATTCTATGTAACTTCTGATGGCAAAACCATATCTTAAAAGTTTCTTCCCAACTTCCCACCAATTATGTTCGGTTTCTCAAAAATGACCAGTCCCTCGCTAAGCTGTCCTGAAGAATGCCTTTCTATTCTGGAGGCCAAAGACCTGGCCTGAGTCGGAAAGGGCTTAAGAACAGAAATTATTTTGTGCAATAAAAGAAAATCTGGATAATTGAAGACAAAATGCAAGTATCTGAGAGAATACTTTGGGTTGTAACCTGAAGATTCTTTTTACCAGAGGCTTTAGACTTCAAAATGATTGCCCCACAAAGGTAAATTAAACCAACTGCAATAGACAAAGCCCACAGAATGAATAAAAGGTCTGTTTGTTAGGTGTATTGGTCTTCATGGATATTAATGTGAACTATCAGAGCTCAACAAGGTATAGATTAATTACAAGTGATTAGCCAAATGTGGACAGTATATAGTCAAGTAGTATTTCAACATTAAATGGCATGTGAACCACTTTTACACTTGTCTGATATTGGTCTTTTAAAGTTCTTTCTATCTTAAATCTTAAAAAGCAATGTCATTCGTATCGATTTCAAACTGCGCAGGACAACTTATGACATGTTTAGTAAGTTCGATTGAATACTATAAATAGTATTAAAGAAAAAAGGTTTCGAATTTCGTTAGCTCTATTAAATAATCCTGTTTAATACCGCATAACATATGTGCTAAGAAATTGCAGGTGAGGGGATTGGCAAAAGGAGGATGCCCTTTGTGAAATTTTTATGGTTGGAAAGTCACATTCTTCGATAGATGCTCACATGGGATCAGATGGAAACGAAAGGTATGTTTCATTTGACAAACATATTAATCTCTTTTGTACTCCTGCTTTTTTCTTTTTCACCTTTTCTTGGGGGAGGGGAGTGCTAGTGGGGTTGTTGGAGGACAGGGGAATTCACTGAGGTAATGTATATTTGTTAAATTTGATGACCTCACTTCACTTAATCTAGCTATCTGATACAATTGATGGGATTCAAACCAGTTACTCGAACCCATCCGACACTATTAATTTTCTTCTTTTAACTGACTTAACAGGGATGGTCTTTGTTCGGGCTCATAATTAGAGTTTTGTTTTTGCTAAAACGAGCTATACATTTAAATTTAGCATATAAAACAATCAAAATGCTTCTGATAGGATAATCCCTAGCAGTGAAGTGGAGTGCAAGGTAGCTGAAAAGGAAGTCCCTATACAATAAAAGAGCCACTTTTAAAAATACTGTTCACACTTTCGTCCCATGAAACGACGCCGTTTTCTGCCACCGTTTTTCTATTTTGTTTTTTCAATTCGCGACCTCATTTTCTTAGGGTTTTCTCACTGTTATTTCTTTGGTACTTTCTCTCTCTCTCTCTC